TTCCTTAAAAACAAAACAAAAACAAACAAAAAAACACAACGTTTTCAAATTCTATGCATTGTTTTTATCAATGAGGGTTCCTGAAGGAAGCAAAATTCATGCAGGGTGACTCAAATGAGAAGCTCTTGGTGGAGACAACTCAGAGTTAACTCTCAGCAGAGTGAGGCCTCAGCAACTTGAAAACATAGTTGCCATGTGCTGTCTGGGTCTAAAAGACGCTTCATAATTGTACATTTTAAGTATTTTTAAAGTTTTTTCTACAGATAGTTTATAGGCATGAGAATAAAGGCATAATGAAAAGTAAACTTTTCATTAGAGAAAAGGTTCCTGGTGGTCCTCAGAGATATATTTGTGGTGGGCAGACTTCTAAACAGCTGCCGATAACACCCGTCCCCTGATATTCACACCACCCTTGGGTGCCCTGGCTTCTGGAGAGGGGGCTGGACTTAGTGGCTTAGTTCTCCCTGGCAGAACTCAGAAGAAGTGAGGGGGTCTCATTTCAATGATTAGGTTACAAAACGTGACTGCTGAGGTAGCAGGCTCCACCACCCTCCAGAGTTTTGGTGCTTCATGAAGCAAGCTGCCATGGTGGAGAAAGCCCCTGTGGAGAGGCAGGGACCTGAGGGCGGCCTCCAACCGACAGCCTGTGAGCAGCTATGTCTGGCCAACAACCCTGTGGCTTGGAAGTGACCCCTTCCTGGCTGAGCTATGTGGTGACCACAGCCCAGCTGCTGCTGGCTGCAGCCTGTGGAAGGTTCTGGCCGAGCTGTGCCAGATCCCAGACCCAAAGAAGCTGAGATCGTAAATGTATGCTGTTCTAAGCCACTATGTTCTGGGGTAGTTTGTTATACAGTGATGGATAATCAATAATTTCAGTCTTACTGAGGCATGCTTCACATACAACAAAGTTCAAACATTCCATGTATATAATTTTTTTCAAAGGTATAGGTAGAATAAAAAATGTTAAGAATCAACTCATAAAACACTTCCATCACCCTCCAAAATTTCCTCCTACTTCTTTTCTTGGCCCCTGGTAACTATCACTCAACGATTCTTGGGCTGAAGAAAATTAATCTAGAGTATCATCTCCTGAAAGTGCACTATCTGTGATTTCACTTACACTTCCATTCTGACTTCACTGGAGTCTAGAGAACTCATCTCCATCTCTTTGCTTCCATCTTCTGATTAGTATGTGTGGATGGTTTTCCTCTGTCAGTTTTCTGATTTGTCATTAATAAAAAATAGAAAATAAAAAGTTCTGATTTCTCAACGCTGGTCAGTGAGAACTACAACATTTCACAAAGATGCTGCTGCCAGTCTTTTTCCGAACCTTCTCGGAAGATTGTGCAATCCTTTGGAAACTGGAAGAAGAAAACTGGAAACTATTACTCGTTTGGCATTTGCATCGCCTCCTAGGCCTTCCATATCACATCCATCTCTTATTATTTTAATATTTTTTAGCATTATTAGGAATAATCACTGAGTAAGGGTGAGTAATAATGATATAATCCCTCAGATTAAAAAATAATGAAACATTTTAAGACGGGAAAAGTAAGACCTCAAAGATTCCGTAATGTATCTTGATTTTATAACAGAATTCAATGGACTTATATGACCATTAGAAGATTAAATACGTTTTAAAAATTGGTTATAAAAATGGTGATTTTTAATAACAGAATCCAATGGACTTATATGACAATGAAAAGATTAAATGTTTTATTGTGCTACAAAAACGGCAATTTTTTTTTTTTTTTGAAACACGGTCTCACCCTGTTGCCCAGGTTGGAGTGCAGTGGCACGATCATGGCTCACTGCAGTCCTGACCACTGGGTTTAAGTGATCCTTTCACCTCCACTTCTTGAGTAGCTGGGACCACTGGTGAGTGCCACCAGGCCTGGTTCGTGTTTAAAGTATTTATAGAGACAGGGTTTCACTCTGTGGCCCAAGTGGGTCTTGAACTCCTGGGCTCAAACGATGTGCTTGTCTTGGCCTCCCAAAGTGCTAGGATTATAGGCATGAGCCACTGCACCTGGCCAAAAAAAAAAAAAGTGTATTCTTTTTCTTTGCCTTTTGGAAGACCTCTAAGAACAAATAAAAATCATGAGATATCATTCAAACTACTTAAAAACAGTCTCAGTACGCTGGACCTGGCTCCAGTGTCTCCTGCTGGTGGATGTGATAAGGACACAATCAGACCCCAGAGACCAGGAAGTGGGGAGCCACAGCACCCCAGGACTGAGGGCAACATAAAGACACGCGTTAGTGAAGGAGCCCAGCCAGAGGCAGCACCCTGAAAAAGGCCACCGGGATCAAGGAACCCAGGAAAAACCCCGTTATCGCCGTGAGGTGGTGCCCAAGTAGGGAGGGCACAGGGGAGGAAAACCTGAAGTCGCTCCTCCCTCCCAGACATGTCTGCTGTCTTCACTCAGCCAAACTCAATCAGCCGCCACCTTCCAGGGCTAAGCAGGCAGAGAATGGGGCTGCAAGGTGATGGTGGAGAATAACCTGCACGTGCTTCTGCCCATTTCCTTTCAATGTCACGTAGCTCAAGCGTTTCCATTTTAGCACATGTGGACACACGTCATTCTTTTAAGCTGCTCTAAACAATGAACCATGGATGTCCCACATCGGGGAAGAGCTCATGCAGCAGCTGATATTCCCTCTGTGCCTGGAAGGATTTTAGCACGTGTTGCTGCCTGTGAAGCAGAAATCGCACCCGAAAATGTAATGGACCAAATAAGGGTAGAAGTTGAGACAAGGTGGGCTGTGTGGGCAGAGGCAGGCTGCCTAACCGGGCAGAGGACGCGAGGCTTAAAGAGTGATGTGGGCTCAGTCTCTCCGGCTCACGCCTGTAATCCCAGCATGTTGGGAGGCCAGGGCAGATGGATCATTTGAAGTCAGGAGTTCAAGACCAGCCTGGACAACATGGTGAAACCCCGTCTCTATAAAAAATACAAATATCAGCCAGGCATGGTGGCACACGCCTGTAGTCCCAGCTACTTGGGAGGCTGGCACGGCAGAATCGCTTGTAGTCCCAGCTACTCGGGAGGGAGGTGGAGGCTCAGTGAGCAGAGATTGCTCCATTGCACTCCAGCTGGGGCGACAGAGTGAGATTCCATCTCAAAAAAAAAAAGAGAAGGCCGGGCGCGGTGGCTCACGCCTGTAATCCCAGCACTTTGGGAGGCCGAGACGGGCGGATCACGAGGTCAGGAGATCGAGACCATCCTGGCTAACACGGTGAAACCCCGTCTCTACTAAAAATACAAAAACTAGCCGGGCGAGGTGGCGGTGCCTGTAGTCCCAGCTCCTCGGGAGGCTGAGGCCGGAGAATGGCGGGAACCCGGGGGGCGGAGCTTGCAGTGAGCTGAGATCCGGCCACTGCGCTCCAGCCTGGGCGACAGAGCGAGACTCCGTCTCAAAAAAAATTAAAAAAAATAAAAAATAAAAAATGAAAAATTGTGACGTGATGTGGCCCAGGCTGCAGAAAACATGGTCTGCCTCTTCCGAAATCTTAATGTTTTTAATCAGGAGAAAGGCTCATTACCACAAGCTTCCTTTTAGCACAAAATAGGTGTTTAATAAATGACCTTGTTGATGAAGAGGATTAGTGAACCAAATCTGCATTTGTTTTGCTTAATTAGGTATATTTATTTAGGCATGTATTAATAGCAAAGCATGTTGGAGATCTGAGGCAATGATCTGGACAATTTTAAGACAGAAAGCCTGATATTTAACAAGCAGTTATTTTAGGTGTAAATAATCAATGATGTTAAGTAGATTCAATTAAATAATTGTTCAAATCTATTTTGCCTCCTTAGACAAAGGGTAGACATAAACTATACCACGTGGCATATTCTTTTTGTTCAAAATGGTAATCAGTCTGTCTTTGAAAGATCGACTTGACCTAAAATTGTAATTCAATGTGTCTTCATATAAAATTATTAATTTTTTAATCCACAGAATTATTTTCAACAGCATTGATTGCAATAGTTTTGCAATTATGCTTTTCTTTAGATAATAACCCAATGACTTCTTCTGTCTTTGACTTTATGCATAATGGGAGAATTGTTATAGGAGAATTAAACCTGAGAGTACTTCCATTATTGGAAGAATTTTTCTCCTGTCAGTTTTTTGTCAACTACTTATAAAACTGTAGAAGAAAAATTATTCTTCAATCTACAGTTTTCATTATGCATTAGATGCCTTTAATATTCCTTACTAAGTGCCATAATTTCACATATGCCATGTGTCACCTGGTATATATAAACATGAAATTACTTGGAGATTATTGCATAGTTATATCAAAATGCCGAGCAGAAAAAAAAATGACATCCAATATTCACCCAGGGTTTAGACAAGACATTTTTGTTTGATGTGAAAGCGTTCATAATTTCATCACAGAAGAGCATTTTCCAGTGGTGCTCACAGATTGCCTGTAAAAAATAATTCCTCCCTTGTAGACAGGCTTCTATCTCATGCCCTCGGCTTGCCGCTGGTTTATCTGTGCAGGGAGAGACACCCAAAGGTGACCGTGAGCCCACTGTGTCTTTCAGAACCCAGAGTGAGTTACTGCAAACCTCAGGCCATTGAAGTGACTATTGGCTAGCTCAAAAGGCTGTGAAGATGACCACCGTATCTATCCGAATAAGTTTTTTCTTCTTTCTCAGTCTTGAAATCAGGCATGGTTATTTTTATTTTTGGTGTATGCAGACTTAACCTATGTGCCTATATTCACAATGAACTCTTGAATCGGGTCCTCCGTGTTTTTCTGGGGGGGGCATTGATTCCCCACTTGACCTGCTTTGTTGCTCAAAACTTTGTCGCTCATCATTGCTTTCCTGTCTGTTTATTCTTGGTGTGGGGTTGTCAGGGAGAAATGTTGGAAGGGAGAGAAGGGAGCAGGCATCATAGATGGTATTACGGGCTGCTGGTCTCTCCTCTCTCAGCCAACTATGAGATCTATTTGGGATTGAAGGAGATAAGCCACAGCAAGTCGTTACTCGTCCTGAATGCACACCCTTCTTTCTTTGAGCAAGAGGACAAACCTGGGTAGGGATCTCTGTGATCTTTTCTGCGTTGCCTGAGGACGTTCATCTTTCTGATTTGTTAGCTGAAGATGAGGATCTGGAGCAGGAGTTCGGAGTGCCATTGTTCCACGGGCAGAAGTTCGGCAGAGACTGTGAGTGGGGTCTGTCGGGGCGGGCAGAGGGCCCTCCTGGGCTGGCCTCTCCTGCCTGGGGCTTCACGGTGCTTGCCCTGAGTCCAGCGTTTTCACTGGACAGAGCTACAGCTGGGAAGTGCTGTTTTTTTTCTAGGTGCTCTCAGCTGCTATTACCTCATCTATCTCTTTCCCTCTGGAAAATATTATTTGGGGACTTTTTGTCTTAATAGAAGAAGTAGATTCATTCACTCATATATATATATATTTTGTTTTGTTTTGTTTTGTTTTGTTTTGTTTTTTTGAGACAGTCTCGCTCTGTTGCCCAGGCTGGAGTGCAGTGGCACAATCTTGGCTCACCACAACCTCCACCTCCTTCCCGGGGTTCAAGTGATTTTCCTGCTTCAGACTCCTGAGTAGCTGGGATTACAGGCTGCACCATCACGTGTGGCTAATTTTTGTATTTTTAGTAGAGATGGATTTCACCATGTTGGCCAGGCTGGTCTCCAACTCCTGACCTCAGGTGACTCACCAGCCTCGGTCTCCCAAAGTGCTGGGATTACAGGCGTGGGCCGCCGCACCTGGCCAATATTCATTCATTCTTTCTCACCTCTTCCTCCGCTCTTTAAGGTTAAGCTTGCCTGGCCCAAGCCACAGAGTCCTGGGAAGGATGGAAGAGAGAGGAAGGGAGAGCACCGACGTCATGGACCACCTTTCACATCAGTGGCAGCAGCAGTAAAATCCCCAGAAAGCCTGGAGTGGGCGTGAGGGTCTCTTTAGATCAGCCCTGGAGGCAGCCGCCCATGTCCCTCCTGGACATTTGTTCACCTTCACAGAACCCACTTCTTTCCCGTGGTCTGTTCGGATGTCTGTTTCCTGCACCAGGCAGGTAGCACAGCACACTCAGGGGTTTCTCTGACTCACCTTGGTAGCCCCAGCCCTCAGCACACTGCCTACCACTTAGTATTTAGAGGACGTATGCTCTTTGAAAAAAGTAGGTAAATGGTAAAATATTATTTTTACCATTGGAACAAACACAAATATATGCTTGATGACATTCAAACAGTACAAATGCAAGAAAAAAAAGGCTTGTTAGGTGCAAATATTGGAAGAAAAGAGCTTGGGGTCAGAAGTGACCCCAGACAGATGTGCTGGGAAAGAAGGGCTTTGCAGGGACCTCAGTGGCACATAGGACCTAGACCCAGAGATGGGGCCTTCTTGACAGGACGCCTCTGTCCGAGGGCATTGGTTTTGCTCATGTCTCTGTAACATATTTTAAAAAGGATGCAAAGAAACCCCAACTTTTCTGGAAAAAGTGGAAAAATAATGAAGAGTGGTTGACCAGAAGGCTTAGGGCACTGGGCTGTGTTGCTGGAGAGTAAGAACCACTTGCCCTGCTACAAACCAAACTGGCTTTGATCGTCTGCCCTTCTCTGTAGAGGACTGAGGAAGAGGAAATAAGAATTACATGAAGAGCTTCCTAGCGAGCTTCCGGAAGAAAATCTTAGTCCCCTACCCTGGGGAATTTCGCCAAACAAGGGCAGAAAGTGGATAAACAACAGGACGGTAGAGTATCCCTTATTCATGGTGCTCGGGACCAGAAGAGTTTTGGATTATGGATTTTTTGGAACATTTCAGATTTTCACAGCTTCAGGTACAGGGACGGGTTGATGACAACCCCGCTCTGTCCCGTGATTTGTGACAGACATCTGTTTTCTTCCTTATTCCAATTGTATCATCTTGGATTTTGGAATATTTGGATTATACTTATCAGTTGAGCATCACAAATTCGAAAATCCAAAATCTGAAATGCTCCAAATAAGGATTTCCTTTCAGCATCATGCTGGTGTTCAACAAGTTTGAAATTTTGGAGCATTTCAGATGTCAGATTTTCAGACTTGGGGTGCTCAACCTGTACAGGTTATTCAGGCTCCTGAATTCTGTGATTGCTTTTTTTTTCTAGAGCAAAGTTCCATAAAGAGCAGATGGAGAAGTGTTGATTAGCGATCAATTTCTTAGTTGATATTTATCAGACACTTAACTCTGTGTCAGGTATTGTTCTAAGGGCTTGTAAAAGCATCAACTCAATTTATCCAGGCCTCATACTGCCTACTCCAGCACGCACTGTTATATTATTAGCTCATTTTATAGATGAGGAGCCTGAGGAATAGCAGTGTTGAATCACTTGCCTGACATTGTGTTTCTTGGGTACAATTGTAGGTATTAGACAGGGTTCTGAAACAGGGCAAGGATGCAGTTGAAATAAAGAAAGAAACAGATGCCCGTCACAAGTCACTGGATAGAGCTGAGCTTCTGTCAACACAACTTAAGTGTGTGCATCTGGTACCTGTCAAGTTAGAGAAATTGGTTGTTGTGCAACACGACCCCATAATCAAAATATTGTATCAGAGTCCCTACTGGTAGCAGATATACAAACTTCTCTTGTCTCTTGTTCAAGATGAATTGTCTCCTAGCTTATTCGATTCAGTTTAGAGATCATGTGGTTCCATGGACAGTCTCTGTTGGTGTTTCTTCTGGGGAAGTGCCTGCCTTGGTCCTGGACTTGATACCACTAAAGCTGATAATGAGAACTGAGTAGGGTTCTATTAGGTGAGAGCAAGGGTTCAGATGGGAGCATGCTAGGAAGCCCCCATCTCTTCCAACACTTGCCTCATCCAGCCTCAGCTGGAGTTGCAGATGCACCTGCTGATGCCACTCAAGCACCACCAGGTGTGGCCTGCAAGGCCCTGTCAGGGTTGGCTCTCGTTCCTGTCTTGCCATCATCGTCACACAGCCATGCCCTGTGTTCATCTGGCAGTGGCAGGCTGGCTGCATTTCCAGGCTCAGCTATGTCTCCTTTTGCCTCATAGCCTCTGCGTGCATGTGCTCCTGCCTGGAATTTTCTTGCCCTGGTTATTCCTGTGGCTGGCTCCCTGCCATCCTCCGCTCTATTCAGGTGTCACCTTCCTAGAGGTGCCTTTCCTTACAGCCCCTGAGTGATGGCCTTTCCTCCCCAAGTCACACTCTACATTTGCTTTATTTTCTTCTTACCTTTTATTGCAATTTGAAATTGTCAAGTTCACTGATTTACTTGTTTATGGTTTGTCACCTTTCACTAAAATGTAGGCTCCATGAAGGCAGAGCCTTACCTCTCCTATTTACTGGTCTATCTTCAAGCCCAGGAATGGTATTTTATCAATAAATATTTAATGAATTGACAGATGAATTGGTGATGAAGGTTCTAGTTAAAAAACAAAAAAGGAAAGTGGTATTTTGGTTAAAAAAAAAAAACAAAAACCTCTGATTTGTAGCGTTGGCCAATTTCCATGGTGTAAATATTCTTATCATAGCCATTAGTAGTTTCAAATTTACACCACAGAAATCAGACAACCCTAGAGTATGCATTATTTTCTCTTTGTATTAACAGTTGGGGCCTATTAAACTAGCAGATTTAGGCAAAATGGTGATGTGAGTTTATCCAGGCTGGTGAGGAGTTAGAAGTTAAAGATCAATAGCCAGATATGATGGAACATGCTTGTCATCCCAGCTACTTGGGAGGCTGAGGCACGAGAATCGCTTGAGCCTGGGGGTAGAGGTTGCAGTGAGCTGAGATGGTGCCACTGCACTCCAGCCTGGGTGACAGAGCAAGACTCCTTTCTGAAAAATAAATGAAATGAAATAAATAAATAGAATAAAAAATAAGTTAAAGATCAAGAATCGTCAAGAAAAACCAGTGTAAAGCATTTCCTGTCAGGCTTTCTGTAAGCATTTCATGTAGATGATGTCTTCCAATCTTCCCAAGACTCTAGGAGTGAGATATTATCATGCTCATCTTACAGGTGAGTTACTGAGATTCACAGAGGCTAGTAACATGCATATCTTCACATGGTTGGTTAGGAATGATACTGGGATCTCTTTGGAAGCCTTGATACTGGTCCAGTTGATGAAATACTCCCGGGTCTACCCATATTTATAACATTTTTATGAGACCTAGAGGCTACAGGAGGCCTTCCTCCAACCTCCCTGGTAAAGCTATGTGATTTCATTCCATGCTCCAATTCCAGGGTCCATGAAATTTCAGCTGGGAGGCAAAGTTCATCCTGTTAGGCCACAGAGCGTGGTGGGATGGTGGGTAGGTTTGGAAATGCTGGGGTTGTGCTGTCTAGGTTTTAAGGTGATTTCCCATTTACAAGCTGGGTGGTGTTAGGTGAGATTCTCAATGGCTTGGCAGCCTCAGTTTTCTCATTAGTTATATTAAGATCATATTGGCTTCTCCCTCCTAGGATTGGTGTGAGGATGACAGATGTGATTGCGTATAAAGTGAATAGCAGTGCCTGTCCTAGACTAACTGCTCAATACATCTAAGCTATTATTTTTTTTAGAGAACATGCTTTATAGCTTTATTGTGTTTTGGGGCTTTCATCCTAACTGTATTCTTTCTTCAAAACAAAAAAGTTGCCAAATAATTTTTTTTTTTCATTTTTTTGTTTTGCATCAATAAACCTCAAGTGAACCTCTTTTCTTTTCATATAAACCAAGACCAATCTCAGAGACAAACACCACTGTGGGATACGCGTCACCATCCAAAAGGATTTAGATCATTTGGAAACTCTTTGGAAAGCTCTGTTGGAAATACTGAGATGTTGTGGGGCTGTCACTTTAACCCCTGATTCTCAAGAGAATCCGTGTGGGGAGTGTCCCTTCTATGGATTTGCAGTGGGTAGGGCCATTACGTGGTCAGCATATCCGTTCTTCCTACATTGCAAAACACAAGATGCTCCTGTTATCTCCGTCCTACCAGTGAAGAAGCAGAGGCTTGGTGAAGCAATTTGCTCAAGATTTCATGACTGCACAGTAAAGGAAGAGCTGTGATGTGAGATCACGTGAAGCCCATGCTTAGACCCAAGGCCCACAGTACAGAGCCTCTCTGTGAGATAAATGCTTGCTAGGTGCTTAAAAGGCTGAGGGATTCATGTGTTTGCCAGATCTCTCTTTAGGTCCCATGTCCAATCCCAGAAATATGCATTACTCTCTAGTGATACCTTTTGTTGTTTGTTTTTAGTGGGTAAAGGATTTTTTTTAAAATAAACTTTAGGCCAGCCACAGTGGCTTGCACGTATAATCCCAGCACTTTGGGAGGCCGAGGCAGGCGGATCACCTGAGGTCAGGAGTTCGAGACCAGCCTGGCCAATATGGTGAAATCCTGTCTCTACTAAAAATACAAAAATTAGCTGAATGTGGTAGCAGGCGCTTGTAATCCCAGCTACTCGGGAGGCTGAGGCAAGAGAATTGCTTGAACCTGGAAGGTAGAGGTTTCAGTGAGCCAAGATTGTGCCATTACACTCCAGCCTGGGGGACAAGAGTGAGACTTTGTGTAAAAGCAACAACAACAACAACAAAACTTTATCGTGTATATCTGAGGTTTACAACATGATATTATGGGATACATACAGGTAGTAAAATGATTACCATAGTGAAGCAGATTAACACATCTATCATCTTACATAGTCACTTTTTCTGTGTGATGAGAACAGCTAAAATCTACTTACTTAACAAAAACTAATACGATCCAATCTTATTAGCTTTGGTCTTCATGTTGTACATTAGATATCTAGACTCATTTTTCATCCTACATACTTGCTTGCTATTTTGTATTCTTTGACCTACATTTCACCACTTCCTCTCCCAACCCCACCCAGTCCATGGTCATCTCAGTTTTACTCTCTATCCTTCTGTGCTTTTTATCCTTGTATTCCATATATAAGTGAGATTATGCAGCATTTGTCTTTCCGTGTTTGACTTACTTCACTTAGCATAATGTCCTTCAGGTTCATTCATGTTGTGGCAAATGACAAGATATCCTTATTTTTTAAGAGTGAATAATATTCTTGTACATATATACTTACACCATGTTTTCTTTATCCATTTGTCCATTGATGGATACTTGGGTGGATTTCATATATTGGCCATTGTGAATAATGCTGTAATGAACAAGAGAGTGTAGATGTCTTTATGAAGTGATGAGTTCAACTGCTTTGGCTGTATTCCCAGAAGAGGAGCTGATGTTCGTTTGTTAATTCTATTCTTAAGTTTTTCAGGTAACTCCATACTGTTTACCACAGTGGTTGTACCAATCTGCATTCCCACCAAAAGTGTAATAGGGTTCTCTTTTCTCCACACCCTTGCCAACATTTATTATCACTTGTCTTTTCATAATAGCCATCTCATAGTCATTTTAATTTGCATTTCCTTGATGATTAGTGATGTTTTGCACCCTTTCACATACCTTTTGGCCATTCTTAAGTCTTTTTTGAAGAAATGTTGATTCAGCTCCCTTGTCTGTTTCTGAATTGAGTTATTCATTTTTCTGCTATTGAATTATAAGAATTCTTTATAAATTTTGGATATTAGTCCTTTATCAAATATATAATTTGCAATTTTTTTCAGTGTGAATGTTGTCCTTTCATTTTGATGAATGCTTTCTTTGCTGTGCAGAAGCTTTTCAGTTTAATGTAGTCCCACTTATTTATTTTTGCTTTTTCTTGTAGCCTGAGCTTTTATGGGATATTTAAAAATCATTTCCAGGATCAACATTGAGAAGTTTTCCCTATGTTCTTTTCTGGAAGTTTTATGATTTCCAGTCATATATTTAGCTACTTTATTATTTTGAATTTATTTTCTGTATGGTGTAAGATAAGGGTCCAATTTCATTCTTTTGCATTTAGAGATTCAGTTTTTCCAGGACTATTTATTAAAGACACCATCCTTTCCCCACTGTGTGTTTTTGGCGCCCTTGTCAAAAATTAGTTGACCACATATATTTGGATTTATTTCTGGGTTCTCTCCTTTGTTTCACTCAGCTATGTGTCTGTTTTTATGTCAGTGTCATACTGTTTTGATTACTATTGCCTTGTAATGTATTTATTTATTTATTTATTTATTTTTGAGATAGCATCTTACTCTCTTGCCCAGGTTGGAGTGCAGCAGTGCACTGCAACCTCTACTTCCTGGGCTCAAGCACTCAAGCAGTCTTCCACCTTAGCCTCCTAAGTAACTGGGACCACCGGCACATACCTCATTCAGCTAATTTTTGTATTTTGTTTTTGGTAGAGATGGCATTTCCCCATGTTGCTCAGGCTGGTCTTGAACTCCTGGACTCAAGCAATCTGTCTGCCTTGGCCTCCTAAAGTGCTGGGATTACAGGCATTAGCCACAGCGCCCAGCCTTGTCACAGAATTTTAAATCAGGAATTGTGATGCCTCCAGCTTTGTTGTTTAGTGATACTTTGTTAAGAAGATATATTGCTTTGTTTTCTTTGACAAGTTTTAAACACCAAAATTAAATTAAACTGCAATAACACATTTTCAAGAATTTGAGGAAAACTTGTTTTATTTTCATACATGATGGTCTTTGGAAAAGGACCAAGTCAATGCCTAGCTTCAAATTTGAAGACGATAAGCAGGATGTTTGGTGAGCTATAAAAAAGGGCTTGGAACCAGCTGAGTTACAAGCATGTTTGTCTTCTAAGTAGCTTTGGTTAGCTCACAGAGGTGTAAACTCAGTCCTTACAATGGCTGTTGGTTGCCCCTTTGAAATAGTACCATTTCTCCTGACCTCTGCACATTTGGCTTCATCTTCAAGGAGAGAAAATCCTGGAAATCCCAGCATTGTCTGGCTTCCTTTCTCACTAACCTATCCAGGCTTTTCAGAAATCCCTCTGCCTCGTTCTAAACAGGAAGTTTTGGCAGCCAGTTGTACAAATGGCCCTGTATTATGCAGGATGTCACCTATTGTTATTGGAACAAAGATATTCTGAAATACGGACAAAGGCTTCCAATCCGCCAGGGTCCTGGACCCTTCAGTAGCCTCTCATTGTATCTGGGAAGTGATTGAGTGAATTGGGTCACTCCAAGAATATACCTAAGCTTCAGAAACTCTGCTATTATTAGGATGCCAGAGTGGAGCTACACACAGCACATGCAGTTCACATTTATAGTATCCCTGTTTCCCAGTTTCTCTGTCTAAATGCAACACAGCCACTTTCCAAATAAATGGGGTTACCTACATCTGTATACATAAATGAAAAAAAATGACTGGGGATGATCCATATCTCTGTTCTACTGTTAAAGTGTTAGGGAAAAACAAAGCATTTATGAATCAAAAGTGCTATTAAAGTTTCTCTTTTGAAAGACTATGCATAAATCATGCACTTCTCAAA